CTGGGATGGACCACGAGCCAAGAGACTGCAAGAGATCTACCAGAAGGTGTTCTGCAAGTGGGAATAGAATAAAAAATAGGCATTATTATTATTATATCTATATTTATGATTGATTTTACCACAGTGGCAAGGCCTTAGTCCTGAATTATAGACTCCATTCTGTCCTAGATACTCCATTTGTACATATATACACACACTGATTCTACCTCAGATGTATCTGCAGCACTTGCACCTCTTTATCCATCGGGACTCCTCTGTTCCTCACCCCATCTTTCCCATCCCTGGGCTCCATGGCAGCCCCTCCAGGTCATGGTCTTGGGATGGGAGGGGGGCTCCATGCTCCTCCACTGCTTCTTTCCCTCTAGCATGATGAAAAACGCTTCTGGAACGCTTCTAACGCGACTGTTGGGGCTTAAATCCCTACATAAAACGTAATGCTTTGACAAGAAGCTTTAGGCACGGGGGTGTCCCCCAAATCGAGAAGGGTTTGCTCACTGAGGCACCACAGCCGCCTCCCGCTCCGGGCACTGGGAGCTCCATGCCAGGTTTTCCTCCGCGCTCCTTCGAGCACACACTGTCTCCTCCCGCCATCGGGTCCCTTCACCGCTCAACGCGCTGACTCCTCCGCGCTGCCGGGCCTCGTTTTCCTCCCCCCGTCAGGTAAAGCTGCGGCGAGCACCACAGGAAAAATAGCGCCTGGCGGAGTGATCTGAGCCGCAGGGGCGGGGCCGCAGGGGCTATATAATGGGCAGGACGTGAATGTGTGGCGCAATTGCAGTTGTGGGAGTGCGGTAAGGTGGTATAGCGTCAGCTTCGTCTGTGGGCCCGTCGGTGAGTGCTTCGCCGTGGTTCTTCGGGGATAGACGGAGGCTAGAGGCGTTTGTCATGGCGGTAGCAGGGCTTAGGTGTTCGTTAGGTGGCGGGGCAGGGTGTGTGTGTGTACGTTGAGGGAGAACGGGCTGCGGATGAAGGAGATGGCGGGCCGTGTGTGTGTGTATATATGTATGTCGCGTTACAGCAGCAGCACGGCGGGCGGGCGGCGGCGGTGCGCAGCGGAGGGGGGGGTACAAGCGGCTACCGGCAAAATGGCGGCCGCGCAGGCGCAGCGGTCCTTCAAGATGGCGGGCGTCATGGGCGGGAAGGGGAACGGGGATGTGGGCGGTACTGCGCTCTGACGTCACTTGACGTTAGGCGATGACGTATGTACGTAGGGCGTGGCGTCGCTGAGGGGCGTTCCCCGGCAGCCGAGCAATAGCTTGAGGCAGGATGGGGACCAGAAACTGAGGTGGAGCTGTTCTCATTGCAGAGAAACATGCAGATCTTCGTGAAGACCCTGACGGGCAAGACCATCACGCTGGAGGTGGAGCCCAGCGACACCATTGAGAACGTGAAGGCCAAGATCCAGGACAAGGAGGGCATCCCCCCTGACCAGCAGAGGTTGATCTTTGCTGGCAAGCAGCTGGAAGATGGGCGCACCCTGTCTGACTACAACATCCAGAAGGAATCCACTCTGCACTTAGTGCTGCGCCTCAGGGGTGGCATGCAGATCTTCGTGAAGACCCTCACAGGCAAGACCATCACCCTTGAGGTGGAGCCCAGTGACACCATTGAGAACGTGAAGGCCAAGATCCAGGACAAGGAGGGCATCCCCCCTGACCAGCAGAGGTTGATCTTTGCTGGCAAGCAGCTGGAAGATGGGCGCACCCTGTCTGACTACAACATCCAGAAGGAATCCACCCTTCATCTTGTGCTGCGTCTGAGAGGTGGCATGCAGATCTTTGTGAAGACCCTGACGGGCAAGACCATCACCCTGGAAGTTGAGCCCAGTGACACGATTGAGAACGTGAAGGCCAAGATCCAGGATAAGGAAGGCATTCCCCCCGACCAGCAGAGGTTGATCTTTGCTGGCAAGCAGCTGGAAGATGGGCGCACCCTTTCCGATTACAACATCCAGAAGGAATCCACTCTGCACTTAGTGCTGCGCCTCAGGGGTGGCATGCAGATCTTTGTGAAGACCCTGACAGGTAAGACCATCACCCTGGAAGTTGAGCCCAGTGACACCATTGAGAATGTGAAGGCCAAGATCCAGGACAAGGAAGGCATCCCCCCTGACCAGCAGAGGTTGATTTTTGCTGGCAAGCAGCTGGAAGATGGGCGCACCCTTTCTGACTACAACATCCAGAAGGAATCCACCCTTCATCTTGTGCTGCGTCTGAGAGGTGGTATGCAGATCTTCGTGAAGACCCTGACGGGCAAGACCATCACCCTTGAGGTTGAGCCCAGTGACACCATTGAGAACGTGAAGGCCAAGATCCAGGACAAGGAGGGCATCCCCCCTGACCAGCAGAGGTTGATTTTTGCTGGCAAGCAGCTGGAAGATGGGCGCACCCTGTCTGACTACAACATCCAGAAGGAATCCACTCTGCACTTAGTGCTGCGCCTCAGGGGTGGCATGCAGATCTTCGTGAAGACCCTCACAGGCAAGACCATCACCCTTGAGGTTGAGCCCAGTGACACCATTGAGAATGTGAAGGCCAAGATCCAGGACAAGGAGGGCATCCCCCCTGACCAGCAGAGGTTGATCTTTGCTGGCAAGCAGCTGGAAGATGGGCGCACCCTCTCCGACTACAACATCCAGAAGGAATCCACCCTTCATCTTGTGCTGCGCCTGAGAGGTGGCAACTGAACCTCCTGATTGTTCCTTGCATTTAAGTAAAAGTTTCTCTGCACTTGTTCATTCCAATAAAGCTGTTGTATCCACAAAAGCTCGTGTCTCAAGTTAGAATTGTAGAATGATTTGGGTTGGAAAGGACGTTAAGATCCTCCAGTTCCAGCCCCCTGCCAAGAGCAGGCGTGCCTCACACTAGAACATGCGCCACACACTGCCGGGTCTTGTTCATTTTCTTAACAGCTGACACCCCAGAATCCTCCTCTGCCCAACCTGTAGCTGTGCCTGGAATTGTCCCAACCCAGATCTAGGACTTTGCACTTTATTGAACTTCGTGAGGTTGGCATTGTCCACCTCTTAAGCGTGTCAGGGTCCTTCTGGGTGGCATCCCTTGCCTCCAGTATATCAACTGAACCACAGGATGTAGTGATGCTGGCAGCCTTTCTGAGGGCACACTCAATCTCACTGTCCATGTTGCTGACAAAGACATTGAACAGCATCAGTACCAACACTGACCCCTAAGGTAAAACACTTGTTACCCCTTTCCAGTTGGACATTGAGCCGCTGCCTACAACTCAAGCGTGGACATCCAGCCAATTCTTTATCCACCAAGTCCATTTATCAAATTGATGTTACTCCAGTTTAAAGACAAGGATATTGGATGGGACAGTGTCAAAAGCTTTGCACAAGTCAGGTAGGTTAAATCAACTGCTTCCCCCAACTCTCAGTTCCGTAGCCCCATCACAGAAGGCCACCAAATTGGTCAGCCAGGATTTCCCCTTAGTGAGGCCATGTTGGCTGTCACCAACCTTAGCATGCTTTCCAGGGGAATCTGCTCCAGGATTTCCAGAATGTAGGTGAGTCTGTCCTTTTCTGGGTCTTCCATTTCCCCTTTCTTAAAAATGGAGGTTATATTTCCCTTTTTCCAGTCATTGGGAACTTCACCCGACTGCCACACTTTTTGAAATGGGATGGCCAGTGGCTTAGCAACTTCATTTGCCAGCTCCTTCAGGACCTGCGAATGGGTTTCATCACGTCCCATGGACTTACGCATGTTCAGGTTCTTAAGATGGTCTTGAACCAGATCCTCTCCTACAGTGGGCAGTCATGTTAACTTATGTAAAAAAATAATTAATGTCTGTTATTAATAGAATTAGCTGTTTTAAGAAACCAAAGTTACATATCTGTGTACAAAAGGTATTGCAAAACAGCCTTATGCAAAGCTTACACAGGCCTGGCATTTGTTAACTAACCCTTCAGCTATCAGTGCTCCTGAGGTTGTGTAAGTGTCCTCAACTTTCTGAAGCAGTGACTGGTGGTTGGTGCCAGTCTGCAGATGTTACACAGCTGCTGGGTTGTGTAAGCATGCGTATGGAATGTGAACCTTCAATAGCTGGGAGGCATTGATAATCCAGCTTTACCCAGAAACAGCCAGGTCCTGCCCCTGGTTTTGCTGCAGCAATGGATTAATGTAACACTGCTGTTGAGAGCCTGCTCTGATGTGAGTGGCTGCTTGGTGGCAGTGCAGGATGTCACTGCAGATTCTGCAGCCCTTGGGCCTGAGAAATCTGGCTAAAGTGGGCCTTTCATCATCGGCCTTTCATCAACCCCCTCACATCGGGTTATGGGGTAGATAGTTTTGTAAAGCACATTAAGCAAACTTCTCATTTTCAGGCACACCAGGCTATTAAAAATTGGGATGTGCTTTCATTCCAGCTGTACCCTAAGTGGACAGCGCAACGATGGGCTAGAATGTCACAAGGCAGGTCCCATAGACTATAAAAGCCCTGGCAAGAGGGAAATTACTCGTGTTCTGTGGTGAAAGCGATGGTTGCTGGATGTTGGAGCTCATGAGTAGCTCACCATGCAGTGAGGGGTGGGAAGTGGGAAAAGGAGGCTGAAGGGTGGAAACCAAAAATGCCCTTTGCAAGAGTGGCAGCATGCCTTCTGTGCCTTAGAAGAAGGAGCGCATGTAATTGTTCTAAAATAGGTTGTCACAAACCAGACTCTTCCCTTCATTGTTGATTTTTTGCTACTTCCATGATGCTTTTAGGGGTAAGTCTCACCCAGGGCAGCTTCAGATGCACAAGATAGGCAAAAACCCCATTTCCCTGGAAACTCGGAGGCAGGTTAAGCGGTGGTGGCCATAAATACACACATTTGTATGGTTTTAATGCATTACTGCACGGGTTTATCTCCGCGCTCGCGGCGCGTTCCGCTTCCCGTGGGTTGACGTTTCCCGCGCCGGCGGCGCTGTGCGAGAGGCGGTGCCCGGCTCCACTCCGCCCCGGCCCCGCTCCGCTCCGCCTCCCGCGCCTGTCCGTCCGCCGGGCCGGGCCGGGCCGCGGGGCCATAAAGCAGCGGTGGCGGGCGCAGGCCGGGTCCGCTGTGCTGCGCCGCGCCATGGGCTCGGCCCGCCGCAGAGCGTCGGTGGGGCTGGGGCTGGCCGGGGCGGCCTGCGCCCTCCTGGGGGTCTCCCTTCTGCTGGTGGGGCCCCGCATCGTCAAGGAGCAGGTTATCAAGGTCAGCGGGGCCGGGAGGGGTGCGTGTCTGCTGCGGGGTGCCCTAGGGCTCGCGGCTGGAGCTGGTGCGTGGCTGGGAGCGCGGAGCGGGGCTGGCGTGCGTGCCGGTGCAAGGTGCAGGGGGTGGTGGTGCGGGGCTGGTGCTCGGGCAGGTTTCCCTGTGTAGCGTGGTGCGGAGCAGTGTGAGAGAGCTGAGCCCTGAGGGACTCTGCTTCGGCGTCACCGCTGCGGCTCTGAGCAGCCTCTAAAGCTCGGTGTGGGCAAATAGCGGCTTGGGATGTGCCAGCTTGGGTTGCAGACGTGCCTGGGCTGAATGGGAGCTCAGCCCTGGCTAGCAATGGCTTTAGAAACAAATGGAATTGGATGGGGAGGACAATGCTGATGGTGCTGGGCTCAACAGCTTGGCAGGCTGAGCACTGCGCCCAGCACCAGCCCTTCCTTCTGTCCCTGCTGCCTTAACCTGCCGCACTAGTTCCTTTCATTAATGGGTTTGGACTTAACTCTGATGAGACAATTCCCAGACTGAAAACGGGACAGATGATGTGCAGAAGGGCTCTGAAGCAGCCTTGTGCATGGAGCAACCTTCAAGTCACCAAAAATCTAAAGAGCTGCCTCTGAAGACCTGTTTTACCCACAGGTGTCCTGAGGCTGAAGGGGTGTTTGTTCCCTGTGGTTAAGACATGGGGCTGTGGATGGAGTTGGTTTGTTCAGTGACTGCTTCACAGTCTTGGGAACCAGCACTCCCATCCTTGCTATCCTTGCTGCTGGGATACCTTATCCTGTCGTAATGATCCAATTGGCTCAATCCCACGTTCAGCCAAACCTTTTTCTCCCTGTGCCCTGCCTGGGCATTTCCTCAGGCTTGCACTTACCCAGATCAACACCTGGAAATGTGCTTCTGATGGAAGAGGTAAATATCCCATAGCCAATGGCTTGGTTAGCTGGGCTGCAAAGTCCCTGTTGAAAACAGACTTCTATCCTTTGGAGGTGCTGCTGCCTGGGCAAAGCCACACAGACCAGTGACTTAAGCATTAAAAGTCAGTCTTTGTTCGGTTTCATGGGCATCAGGAGCTGGTACCTGCAGATAAAATGCTGAGTGGCCGCTGCAGAACAGGACTGACATTTTTGGTGCAAAACCCTTTCTGCCTTTTTTTTTTTAGCTAATCCCGGTTCTTTCTACCTGGTTAGTTAAATCCTAGTAACTTAACAATTAGGAAATACCAGCCCTTGTTCCTTTTCACTTTATCCCAAGCCCTTGGATCTGAATTTCCAGCATGACTCAAAATGGTCCCGAGCTCTTAGGAAACTTGATGTGAAATAGAAAAAATAACTGAGTTATATCCAGTGTGGTGAGATATATCCATAGCCCCATGTTCCTGAGCTCTGTCAAGGTGGAGGAGGACTTGGCTGCAAAGAGGCGGTGGATTTGAGTGTGTCCTTAGGTCTGTAGGTAACATGCAGTAGAAACAGGAAGCTTGGAGCCTGTTTCCTGCCCCATTGCAGGAACTGAATCTGTATCAGAAAGTGTATCTGAATCTGCAAAACCTGGGAATGTTGCTTTTCTGGAAGCCCTTGGAGTGCCACCGACCTGCCTAAGATACGAGCTGTAACACAGTGAGGCTGCATCAACTCATCCATCTGCCACTTGATGCTTCTGCTCCACCTGGGAGCTCTTGTGCTGTCCTGCCTGAAAGCTGGGAGAAGACAGACAGCACTGGCTTTGCTCTTTCAGGAGGGTGATGAGGATGGTGGTGAGAGGATGTGGAGATGAGGTCTGACACTGAGGCTGTGCTTGGGCACGGCGTGGTTGCTGCTCCTCATCTGAAGAGGGAACCTCAGCTCTTGGTTTTACTGAGCAGGGTGGCTGAAGCCTCCCTCTTGGAGGAGCAGGATTTGACCACTGTCTGCTCAGGAGGGATCAAACATCTTGGTGATGCTTTATAATCCACCTAAGTGAAGCATGTTTTCTATTTAGGTGTATGACCATGTTTTTGACCTACAAGTAGCTGAATTCTAAAGCTACCCTAAGTAGGTCTTAATCTGTAGCATCTGTGGAGTACCTCGAGCTGCTGTGCCCAGATGGGAGAAGGCTGAGAAATGTAGCAGGGAGCCAGGATGCAGCTCTGTCTGACTGGGAACATATTATATAGATAAATGCATATGCAGGAAGGGATCCAGGGGGTGCAGGAATAAGCAAGTGAAGGAAAGCAGATGTTGCTGCTCATACTCTGTTGGACACTCAGGAGTCAGGATTATAAAGCAGGCTAAATAGAAACATGTCCTGTTGCTGCTGCTTCTGCTTGCAGGTAGCACAGCCTAGCCTTGAAACTGCTAAAGATGCAGAATTGCAGGGAAGCCTCTGGCAGCTTTCACAACTCAGCCCCACGTAGCAGCAAATACATGTATGTTCACATCGAGTTGCTCCAGGGCAGGAGAGCCATTATGGAACTGAGCTGCAAAGGGATAACAGCCATGTGCCTTTGGCTATTAGCGGATCAAACCCGCTTCCATAAGCTGGCTGGGTTACTTAACCCAAGTAACAAAGGCTTGTGCTTGCAGAGGAAGCACAGATTATGGTGGAACTCATCCAGAAAAAGTGCTCAAGAAGGAACGAACAGGCTCTTGTCTGTAAGGCAGTTCCCAGGAGGCTGGGAGGGAGTTGAAACAGATGTGGCCAGATGCCAGCTCCTGGACTGGGAACCTGGTGAGGGCTTAAGTCACGTTTGGGCTCCTCCAGGTGTTTCCCAGCAAACAAGACAGCAATATGGGAGCCAGGGTTGTGGTTCTTCATAAGGCCTTTGACCTGCCTTATGACCAGCTATGAGTCACTGCAGGATGGAGCTGAAGGGACGCAAAGGTGTCCTGCACTGTGCTGTTGGGACCCAGCTCGGTTGCCATCCCAGTTTTCTGTCTGCTTTTTGGGAGTCTAGTGGGCCCTCCCTGCTGGTACCCCTATACTTGTGTCAATGGGCACGATGATTCCCAGCCTTTGCCTGCTTTAGGCTGCCAAACCTTGCCAGGTGATTGGCTTACTTCAGGACAGGGTAGTTTATGCTTGGCAAGTCAGATATGTGGAGTTGTGAATAATTTAGTACTGGCTTGTTATAATTCAAAGCAAGCCTCTAGCACATCAAAAGAGCTCTGAAATCCTGTGGGTAGGATCTGGAAAGTTGAGCCTGAATAAATAAGCCTACAGACATCCTGTGGCATGAACTTGATGCTTCTGCATGCGGAAGAGTTCCCGGTTTAGATCTGGCTCAGTTTCAGTCTGCATAACATGCCTGGATCCTCTGGAGAGCCCCTGCTGGAGCTGCCACCTTCAGCTGGGCTTGACATGGATCTGAGGGTGGATGTGCTCAGCTGCAGCCACTGATCCCAAGAGCTGTCTCCTTACTCTGTTTTTTCCCTTGCAGAATGTCAGGATCGACCCTGGCAGCATCTCCTTCAAGATGTGGAAGGACATTCCTGTTCCTTTCTACATGTCAATGTATTTCTTTGAAGTGCTGAACCCCGACCAGGTCCTCCAGGGAGCAAAGCCGGCGCTGCACCAGCGTGGACCCTATGTGTACAGGTTAGGTACCACATGTCCAGCTAGGCCTGAGCCCATTCACCATGCTGCCTGCCAGGCTTCTGGCTATCTCCTTTGGCTGGAGGGCATAGCATCAACATACTTGGAGCAAGGCTGGTGGCACAGCATTTTAAGGTGACCCATATGTGCTCTAATTACCCTGATCTTGCTAAAGCCAGAATTAGGGAGGACCTTTATCCTGTGCTTCACTGAGTTGTGGAGCTCAGTCCCATGCTGGGATCTGTTGGGCAGCCAGACTAATATGGTCCAAACGTAGGCATGAGGGGTGTTGGTATGGTGGTGGGCAAGCCAAATGTTCAAAGTGGACTGGTTTTATCTTCACTGTACATTTGAGAGTCCAGTTCCAGAATCGGAGTCACCTCGATATCAAACTTCATGGGTAAGAGGTCTCAGGCCAATCCAACATGAGACTCTGAATCTGCCTAAAATGAATGCTGTGGTTATGAGAACCAGTATGGAGCACTAAAACTTGATCAGGCCCAGCTACAGCAGGGCTGGGTCTATTTGCCATGGCTGAAGATGGTCGTTGAAGCCCCAGATTATTCTCAGGACCTGAAACACGAAGTGGTGGTGGAGGTTGAGCGTGTGAATTTACCCCTAAGTAGCGTGTGTTTGCCTACACATGTAGGCAAAGCTCGGTCAGCAGCCTAAGCAAGCTCAGGCAGAAAGATTACTGGTTTAATCCAAAGCTGTTTCAGTAGCATTGGGGGAAACCTGACAGTATGTTGGCCCTTGTTTCCTTTGGGCTTGCCAGGTCACACCGTAACACCATGTGGGTTCTGTATGTTGTGATTTCATCAGTCACTTGGCTTGGGAAAAAGGCTTCCCTCACTGTAAATAAGAATAAACAAAGGGGCAAAGCTTATTAGTGTGCTTGTGTTCCCGCTGGGGGAGATTAGTGCCCTTCCCTAATGTGCACTGTAAAGCAGAGGCTCCACAATAAAGGGCTTTGTTTTTGCTGGTGGGTTGAGCTTCAGCTCCCTTGGGAGCTGTAACAGGCTCACAAGTGTTGGGGAGAACCTCGTGCTACTGTGGCCTCCATGAGACTGAGATGCCCCGATAGCATGGAGTGAAGGGGGGCAGTGCTGGGCAGTGTGCAGGAGGTGGTACTACCTGAAGCCTTGAGGAGAGCCATGAAGGAAGGTCAAGGTGCCCTGAACCTGGGAACCATCAGGGAGATCTGGGGCAAATCAGTGGGGGCTCAGTGCTGGGTCTCGTGGCATCTAGTTTGGTCATCTTCTGTTCTGGAAGTTATTTGGACATGTGTGTTGGTGTAGGTTTGCTTACCTGGGCATTTCCCTGATATGGCTGGGCTTTTCAATGACTGTAGGTGCAGTGACCTAGAGTTTTTATGCTTTTGTCTCAAACTTCTCATCAGCTGGGTTTTGAGTGGTGAAGAAACACTTTGTGCTTTGCTGCAGAATCCAGTCTGTCAGAGATGCCTTGCTCCCAGGCTGCCATCTCCTCCTGCTAGAGCCTAACCCTGGTTGGACTGTGAGGTTGATACCATGTTCCCTGGGATGCTGCCTCCCCTGCTGTCCTTTGGCTTCTTCCTGGGGTTTGGTCTCCTTCAGAAGCAGGCCTAGGCCTGTGCAGCCCCTCCTTACCCACAGGCTTTGCTGTGCAGGGGTACTGCCTGGGGGGATGGTTCCCATGATCTCTCCCATCTCTTTGCAGAGAGTTCAGGTATAAGACAAATATCACATTCCATGACAATGACACCGTCTCCTTCCTGGAATATCGGAGTCTCTTCTTCCAGCCAGAGCTGTCCAATGGCCGTGAAGACGACTACATTGTTGTGCCAAACATTTTGATGATGGTAAGAATTTGCTCCGTGGATAGTTACCGACTTCTGAGCTTGAGGGAAGGGCGATGATGCTCAGTACTGACTCAGAGCTTACTTTTATTTAGGGCTTAAGGCTAATAAAGCAATTAAGTGATTAAGCTTATAACATGCAATGTTCAGCTTTCTGAGTGCTGGTTGTTGCGTTGGGCTGTTATCCTTCCAAACCCAGAGTGTGCAGAGGGGCTGGCAAAGCAGCTGGGCTCGCATCTGCAACCTTGCCTGAGCATCCTCTAGGGAAACGAAGGCTGTGATCCCTCAATTGCTTTGTTCCAAAACTGGAGGCTTGGAACAAAGCAGTTGTTTGTTCAAAGGACTTTTTGAGGGATGCAGATTGATGTGGTCAAAGGATCTTGCTGAGCACCAAAGATGCATTGCTTCCACTTAAAAAAGAAGAAAAGGTGGGCCTCTCATCTCAGGTTTGTTTCTTTCCCAGGGAGCAGCTGTAATGATGGAAAACTTGCCAACCTTTGTGAAGGTTTTACTGAGTGGAGCCCTGGCTGGCCTGAAACAGCAGGCGTTCATGAACCGGACAGTGGGGGAGATCATGTGGGGCTATGAAGACCCTCTTATAGATGCCATAAATGCAATTGTTCCCGGCATAATCCCTTTCAAGGGGAAATTTGGCGTGTTTGTGGAGGTGAGTAAACTGCTGGTTGGGAGCACTAAAATCACAGCAGTGCTGGTCTTAGGGGCAGCCCAGATGCTCAATCCCCTCACAAAGTGTTAGGAGCAGCCATGTGTAGCTGGTGGTTGTGTCAGGCTGCCTTAATTCTCCACCTGGGCAGAAATGCTGGTGTTTGAAGCTGTTGCTGGCAACTGAAATGAATAGAAGCTCAGTAGCTTACAGTCTGTGGAGCACCCCTAGAGCTGAGGAAGTGTGCAAAGTCAGTAACATACTGCAGTTTTGTTGTGTATAATGGTTAAAAGTTAGCCTCTCTTCTCTGCAGTTCAACAACTCCAATTCAGGACTGTTCACAGTGAACACGGGCATGAAGAACATCAGTGAAGTTCACATGGTGGATTCATGGAATGGGCTAAAGGAGGTAAGTGTCAAGCAGAAAAACTGTTATAGGGGACCAGTGCCTGATCTAAAGCATGATAAACTGGAAGCTTTTGGTGTTGTTGTGTCTCTGGGTCTCAGGTTTGAAGGCAAGTTTCTACAGGACTTCAGCTGCTGCAATTTCTGGCAAATTGGCAGAAGGTGGCTCTTGTTCTATGTAGCAAGAGGCTTACATGAAGGATTAAGTTCAGCTCCTCATCTGTGTCCCTTGGATTCCCTTGAAATCCTGTTGGAGCTGGTTGCTTCTAAAGTTGAAGTCCCAGGGTCCCATGGCCTGTGTTTAAGGTGTTCCTTTACTTGTTAAAGGAGTGTTTATTCTTCCCTTGTGGGATTCCACTCCTAAAATCAACTGAATCTACAGACCAATCACTGGGAGCACTAGAGACTGCTGGATCTTGTCCTGTTTTTCCACTCATTATGCAGATGTTTGAATGGGAAAGATCTTGGAAGTTCTTCAGTGTTGCAGCCTCAAGCTGCTTTGGAAGCAGTGTAGAGTTGTGGATGTCCCATGCAGGCCTGGAAGCCAGCTCTCTCCTTGTTCTTACTCCTGTCCTGTAGGTGAATTACTGGCGGAGCCGTGGCTGCAACATGATCAATGGGACAGCAGGAGAGATGTGGCCACCATACATGTCCCCAACATCGCTGGATTTCTACAGCCCGGATGCCTGCAGGTGAGGCCAGCGCGTCCCTGTGCAGGAGATGCAGTGTTCATCCTGTGCCCACGGCATACGTGTGCAGTGACGCAGAGGGCTCAGGGCTCCGTTCTGTAGTTAAAGTTCAGCCATGGTTCCATGTTGCAGTATCCGAGCTTTGCAAACAGCGTAGTTGTCTAATTAGCAGTGGCTCATGCTGTTCATAAATACCTCCCAGATTGCTGGGGAAGTAAAACTTGCCCATGTTGAAGCAGTGGAAAATAACCCGTCTAGATAAGACGTGGGAGGTGAGAGGGAGAAGTAAGAGTTGTCACAAGGAAATGCAGCTATAACCATTTGCAGAACTATTTCAGCTGACTAAATGGTTGCAGAAGTGATTTTGGGGGGGTTGTGCCCCTGTTGCCAGGCTGCTGCTTTTTCTTTTTTTTTTTTTCCGCTTTGTTCCAGTGCTGCTGTGCATCTGTCCTGTGTAAAGACACCCTGACTTGGGTGATCACACAGGGGTTAAAGTACCCTGCAGAGCCCGCCTGAGTGGAAATTCCCTGAGGCTGGAAGGAGGGGAGACAGGAGGTGGCACAAACCCCTGTCCCCAGCTTGGGAAAGATAATGTTAATTCAGGCTTTGTAGATAGTGCAGCAAAACAAGCAAGTGCTCTTGTTGAATAGAGAACAATGACCTCTTCAAACAAGCAAAGTCAGCTGAGCCAAGTATTAGTGCGGGAATTCCTCTACATAAGGGGCATCAGCAAACACCAAAATGACACTGGAGCCGATAACTTAAGGGAAGTTTACCAGTAATCATAGTTTAAATACAGATGCCTGTTTCTGTAGAGTTCTAGGGAGCAGAGCGTGTTTTTTGGCAAGGCATCCGGTGAAGAGGACAAAACCATACTTGGTTTCTAGTTAGCACGGGAGGTTCCTGCCTGACCGTGCTGCGGGGGAAATGGCTGTGCTGTCTTTTCTCCCCACATCCCCCCATTGCCACTCTGTTAGCCTGGTTAGAGAGGAAGGAGTCACAAAGATCAGTGAATAGATTTAAGAGCATATCTGCCTTGCTGCAGGGCACATCTGTGCTGTTTGCACATTAGATGCAGCTGATGCTGATATGCAGCTACCTGGATGTCCCTGCAAGGTAGGCAAGGCTTTATCCTGCTGATGCGCTGCAGCAGCCTCTGCCTCCTTGCTGGAAGGTGAGCACAGCCAAGAGTCATCCACGTAACTGCTGAACATGCACTAAATCCCACATCCTTGGTTCTGGTGTCGGAAGATGTCTGTAGAAATAAGCACCCCCTGCCCAGGCTGTCTGCATCCCTGTAAGCCTTGCTTGAGTGTGAAAGGAGGAAACCTTCCTCCTGGAAGCTTGCATCTTCTTCTTACAGCTGGTAGCAGTAATGCAGCATCACATCACAGCCTGTTGTGTCAAGAGTCTTGCTGCATAATGTAGTAAAAATTTCCACTCTCCTGACAGCCTCTGTGCTGAAGTTGTGCTGTGAAAGAGATTTAGCCAGTGTCCATCCCCTGTGCATGTCCCCTGAGCACCTCGGAGCCAAGGCTTGCACAAAGAGGGTATTACCTCTTGGAGAGCAGCCCTGGGGGTTACTATATGCCTTTAAACTAACCTCACCTGGATATGCAAACTGACTTAAAACCTGTGTTTTCTGTCCACAACCAGTTCTGACCAACCCTTTATCTGTGTTTAAAACATGGAAAGCAAATGGCTTAAATACTCATTCCCCATCCAAAGCACTGCTTTGAGTGTTTATCTCAATCTCAAAGTCTAAGTTACATTGCAACTGCATCTTATCCAGCAAAGATAAGAGCCCAGTTCTGGGCTGGGAGCTTGTTGTCTAATCCTGATCCTTCTCCAATGAAACCCTTCCAGATCCATGAGGCTGGTGTACGAGCAGTCCGGGAAGTTTCAGGGTGTGCCCACCTATCGCTTTGTGGCACCAAAAACTCTCTTTGCCAATGGCACTGACTATCCACCCAATGAAGGCTTCTGCCCCTGCATGCAGTCTGGCATCCAGAACGTCAGTTCCTGTAGGCTGAGTAAGTCCTTTCCTCCTCTGGCTTTCCCTGTACCAGTGTTAAACTATGGGGATCTGATATGAGCTTGGCTGTCTGGAAAACCAGCTCTGTTATCTACCAGAGTGCTGGGGTCTTGTGCATGGCGTTCTCACCCGCAGGCATCTCAGCAAGGAGGGACAGGGGGAAAATCCTTGTACATAAAGTCCTCTTGGTCTCCATGGTCCTATGACAGCCTGGTGTTTGTGGGAATGCCTGAGGATACAATGAGAGTTTTATATCCCCTGGGCTGTGGAGGGAGTAGGCAGAGGAGCATAGGTGGGACGAGGCAGGCTGTGTAACTGCCAAATTAAATGTTAGCTTTGGACACTGAGGGTAGGTTATGCAGGAGTGTGAGAATTCAGCCTTAGTGCCCCAGCCTGTGTCTGGGTACAGCGAGTTGCCACTGCAGTGTGTTTTGCATAGGTGGGAGAGCGTAGGTTAAGCACTAGGTCTTTACTCTCCCAGAGCTTCAGGGAGGGAAGGGAAGAAGCTTTCTGGATGGGAGGAGAAAAGTATAAAAGCCTGTTCAGAGCAAGTGCTGCAATAGCTAAAAAAATCACAGCAAGGAGCCTCAGATGGGTTTGGATGAACTTAAGGTGTCTTTGCTCTCATCCAGATGCACCCATGTTCATTTCACATCCTCACTTCTACAATGCTGACCCAGTCCTGTTGGATGCTGTTGAAGGCCTGCACCCCGACAAGGACCAGCACGCGCTCTTCCTCGACGTGCACCCGGTGAGTGTGTATGAGCATGAGCCTGCCAGGGTCCTCACCCATGGAGGAGCCTCACTGTGCCCCGGGGGTCCCGCTGGGCTGAGTGTGGAGCCTGCCACCGGCTGCGTGGTAGCCTTGCTCTGCTCCAGTGGCACTGATTTGAGCAGGTTCCATAGTGCAAAGACTGGCGAGGACAAGTGCAGATAAAAAATGTCACAGCCATAAACTAATTGAATAATTAGCCTGGCTTGTAGAGAATTGCAGAACCAATTATAAGCATAATTGTTTTGGTAAGCAGAGTCAAGTTCTTTCCACTGACTCAGGTCTGTAACACCAGGTGTATCTAGCAGCAGCCCAGTTAGGCCCCAGATCTGAGATGAGAACTAGCAAAGCCTGAGATCATGCTGCAGCTGAAGCTGTCACCACTGTTTTTGGGCTGGCTTCTTCCAGTCTCTCAACCTGCTCATCTGACTAGCTGCTTTGGCACTGCACTGCTGCTGTGTTACACTTCTCATCTATAGTAAGGGTGAAGTTACTGCTCCATTGGTGATGAGTTGGGGTGTCCTGACTTGTTGTCCCAGCTGCTAATGGGGAGAGGACTTTGGGATCTTCCACCCATGGCCTGTGTGGCATGTGGTCAGATCTTCCAAACATTGTGATGTTTGTCCAAGCAAGAAACAAGTTCCCTTCTTGAGGCAAAGGGAGCTGTGCTGCTTATCTAGGCATTGGGTTCTCTCTGCTTTTCTTATCGCAGTTATGGAAATCTAATTAAGTTTATTACAGTATCAAACATCTACTGATAACAGTACAGTTAACTGTATTCTTATCTAGCTGCAGTCTGCTGAGTGCAAACGGGCAATCCAGCAAAAACTCTCTGCCCTTAATGTGTTGCAAAACTGCAGTGTCATGAGAAACCACTGCCTTAATGGGTGTCATCAAGACTAGATTTGAAGTGGGGTGTTTTCATGGTCTTAGGATGTTGGTGGACAGTGCTATCTGTTCTTCATTATGAGAAACATTTTGTCCTTTCCTGTCTGCACAAATCTTTTGCATCGATGCATTTCTGTCCTCCTGCTGGTAGGATGGACAACAGAAAAGGCTTATCAGGCTTCAGGAAACACTGGAGTTCTATTAAAGCATCTTGTGTAGGGGGTCACTTACAGGTTACATACATTGCTTGGTAATTTGAACTTGCTTATGCTGAGCCCCACAAGCCCTGGGTCGTACAACACCTCCCTTGATGCTGTTTGCCTGCTGACTGTGTGCTGCCTTCTGCAGCAGCCATGTGTGTCCAGGTTAACTTTGTGCCTTCAGACCACCCCAAAGGAGGTGCTGCAACAGTCTCACTGTCTGGTGACCCTTCAGGTAAAGGGAACAAACTGCAAACTGCCATGGGGACAGTGCTGTTCCTCTGTTGGCAGCCATCCCCAGAGCCTGGGGACTGCTGCCTGCCTGGCTGATGCTTGTGCTCTGGTGGAAACCTCAGCCATGCTCCTGATCCTGTGTGTGGTGACTGCAGCAGAGCTCTGGATGATCCAATCCAGAGCAGCTAGGATGGGAAGCAAAGGGTCGCTCTTCTGCGAAGCTCTCCAGACAAATGTTGTCTTTACTGATGAACTGGTTGGTCTCTTTCTATGCAGTTGACTGGCATCCCCATGAATTGCTCCATCAAGCTCCAGCTGAACCTGTACATAAAGCAGGTGTCTGGTATAATGTAAGTAGTCACCTTTTAGAAATGTCCATCTCCCTGGAGCAGAGCTTACTCTGCCCAGAGATGAAGTAGCTTCAGTATTACCAGTTGTCACAGTTGCAGAAGCCAGCTGGCTCATGTGGTGAAATGCCAGTGACCTCAAACTGACATGCTTTAGCAGTGCAGCATGTGGATGGCTCCTCCTGGTGAGGCACAGAAGCGGTTCCCCTGCACTCTGCTGCTGCTCAGGTGTCACATCCAACTTGAAGAGGCAAAACATGCGTTGTCCACAGGGTTGACAGTTGTAGCCTGTGTCCAAAAAGGCACTTTCAGCTCTGATAGCAAACAGAATGGCTCTTGCTGCTTTGACTGGCTTTAGGGCCTACACCAGCAGACAGCCCCCAGTGCTGTGAGCTTGCACCCTCTGTTACCACGCAGGTGACCAAGATGTCTTGCAGCCATGTGAAGTTTAGCATTCCAGTTCATTGAGTTCATGTCCCTACAGCCCAGATTTGGAATGGCACTTACTGCTAAGCACAAATAGAAGCATAAGTTCTGTGCTTGTGTAAAAGGGCCAAGTTGGACCTGGTCCCTTAAGGGGGGAGCAGCTCACTGAAGCAGCAGGAATTACTACTTCCTTACACTGTTCCCTGGCCATTACCAGTCTGTCAGACCCAGCTCTTTAGGAAGAGTTACGACTCTTTGTGGCCTGATCAACCAGAAATCTAAGTGTGTGTGTTTTTTCTTCCCCCAGTCAAACAGGGAGGATTAAGCCAGTGGTCCTGCCGCTGCTGTGGTTTGCAGAGGTGAGTTGCCTTCCTTGACCTGATCCTTCAGAGCCCCTCCTGTGGGAGGTGGAACTGCTTATGCATCACCCGGTGCTGGGGAAACTCCTCTTTGGATAAAGCTTTAAGCAAGACAGACTAGTTAAGCACCAACAGAAGGCTTTATAATACTTGGCTGTGCCATTAATCCCTCTGAGCTGAACAAACCCTCCACTATAGTTGGTAAATCTCTGGCTCTGCCCTAGATGTGGGGTTAAATAGGGCCCACAACAGAGCTGCCAGCATCCCCATGCTAATGCGGGCCTGGGAGTGCAGTTTCCAGCTGTATGCGTGCCTGGCTGATTCCAACTGTTTAGTAAAAGCCTCTAGTCTGACTGAATCTTGCTTCAATTCCCTGATCTGTGCTGGGAGGGCAGTTGTGCAGCTGGTTTGTCTCAGCCCTGGGTGGGAGGGAAATGCCACTGACAGCTCTGATTCTTTGAGCAGAGTGGATCCATCGAAGGCTCGGTCCTAAAGCAGTTTTACACCAACCTGGTGCTGATCCCATCGCTGCTGGACTACCTGCAGTATATCTGCCTTGGGCTGAGCATCCCGCTCATTATCTCAGCAGCTGTACTCATGGCAATGAGTCAGGTAAGAACCTGCAGATGTCTAATGGGAAATGCTGTAAGTCCAATCAGACTTAATCAGATGATGTAGATTGGGCTGACAATCTAACACTCCTGAGGAAACATTGGCTGATGCCACAAACAGTGACCTAATGGTGCCAGATGCCAGCATGTAGCAGCAGGATTTCCTCAGCCATCTAGAAACTGGGCTGCAAATAGATAACATGAAAGCATTTCTGGCTTTCTCAGCGCACAGCATCGATGGAAATGGGTTCCTGTAGGAGGAGGTATTTCTCAGCTCATCCAGTTGATGAAAGAACAAGCCTTGCTCATCAACCCAGCCTCCATAGAAAGCAGCAGGTCTGTGCCATTGCACAAACCTGTGCATCTCTGCAGGGTCCCAACAGTTTTCTAATCTGAATAGAGCCTTCTCGAGGGGATGGAGCTACTTGAGCACAGCTTGTTCTCTAATGAATCGCAGTCGCTGTGTCCTTGCAGGAGAGGTACAGACACTGTGGCTGCTTCTCAGCCCTGGCTGTGCTCTGTCTTTCCTTGGAACTCGCTTGTTTTCAAGCAGACTACTGCAAATAGCTCTGAGCTGTAAGGACAGAATATAAACCAGCTAAAACGTGTGATGGAGATTCAGCTCCCAAACATTCACCTGATAACACTAAGCTTTCTAAAAGCTTTATCTCTTGAAGTAGAGATCTAGCTCCCTACCCTTACCTGCTTCAAAGCCAGCTTATTTACTTTTCCACTACAACCAAGTGTCTTGAGCTGGCTCTGAAGTTACAGAAGTGAAGCTACTTGTGGGGATAAAAAGGTAATGCTTAGGATGAAAGCAGGCTAAGGGGAGAGCTTGTGTGAGGGGCTGCTTTTGCTTAATCTCCTGTAACTGCCCTCACTGAAACACTTATACAAACCCACTTTAAACAGTGCCAGGGTTCTCAGAGTATCACGTAATAGGATTTTAACCAAGCCTACAACTGGTTAATTGACTTAAGCACATGATCCCAAATCCCCTTGTTCTTCCACACACCTCCCTGTAGAGTGGGAGTAATGCTAGGGCCGAGGGCTTGGTGTTAAACCCTTACTGTGCTCCTGAGGTGGTCAGGCTTTGTGTGCTGAACCTCTCTGCTTCAGCACTGCAAGTGCTTGTTGGCAAGTGGACTTCCCTCTGTTGCATAGCACCAGCATATCTGGAAAATGTCTATCTGCTGGCATTATTTCTAAGACCTTATGCAGCCCTGGGCTGGCATTTCCTTCCCCTGCTTTATGCAAGTCTTAATTCCTGCCATCAAAGAGCCTTAACTGTGCCAGGAAGGGTCAGGAAGAAAAGCTGGATTGTAAATCTGTTCAAGTCAACTGAGTATCTGTGAAATACCCCAAACCCAGGCATAAGCTTGCTGTATTTGGGTGCTCAGCCAGAAGTGTGGTGAAGTGCTAGAACTGAAAATCAGCTGCAGGAGGTGCCTGACTACCTGAAAAGTGATAAATGAGAGGCTTGATGACCTTAAATGTAAGCAAGCTGTGCAACAACACATGAAAGTCTCATGTCTAATGAATAGATAAGAGCTTGTAAACTGGAAGACAGCAATTTGCAGCCAAGGTGTGTTCCTCCTTTGATTGAAGTGTTGCTGATCTTTGCTGATGATTGCTTAATCATGCACAGTGCTCCCTCTTGAAGACACAGGTGGGGGGGCACTGAGCAGGGGCATTGACCACAGCTTCACGTGTCTGCCAGCGCGAAGGTCTCCCTGATCCCAGCTCCTTACTTGGAGTATCCTGTGTGCCTCTGGCTTCTGGAGGGAGCAATGTGCTCTAAAGCCGGTCCAGATGAGGTGCTATGAAGCACTTAAATCTTAGTCTAGCTGACAGTGGAGCCAGTTTGAAATGCATCCGTTGGACCTGCAGTTCTAAACAATGTGTGAAGCTCTGCAGGTGCAAAACATGTCCAGATGCAGCACTGTAGCTAAGATGGCCTAAAGCCTTTGTGGTGACGTGTTTGAAAAGCAAACGGACCATTTAAAACTGGCTTGACACTGCCCAAAATCTAAAGTAGGCCTTAGTTTAACCTAGATCTTGAAATCTTCGTTAATAACTAGATTCTAGTTAAACAATGATTTGAAAATCTCCTCTTAAATTGGAACCCTCATGGAATTCCTGTCCAAGTGCACCATAAACGAGCCTGATTGTCTTCTAGGAAAAATGCACTTTATTTTGGAGTAGCAATAAAAAGAGCTCAGACAGTAATAAGGCCAACCAGGCCACCTCTGCCAAAAAGCTGCCTCCGGTTAAGGGGACGGTGTTGCGGGAAGCCAGACTGTAGGTGGGTACCCAGTCAAGGTAACGCACTTTTGTCTCGTCCTGATCTGATTAAACTTTGCTTAAAGCCAATCAAACAGCAATGCGTACTGTCTGCATCTACCAGACATGCCCTCGTAGCAAGCTTGGATATAAACGGTGTCTCATGGCTTTATTCAGGGCAATTTAGATGTCTTAATACTCACACTTAACTGGGCTGCACGCACATGCTTTTATTGTTTCTCCTGGTGTACCTGATACGCAGCCCTAATACTATCAGCAGGGATTAGGGTGAAAAGTAGAACTGGTGTGAGGAAACACTTTTCTTGCCTATTTCTTCCCACTCTGAGTATTTCAGATCCAGAGGTAAGTTTTGGAATGGGCAAAACCTCATGGGGTAACAGAGGTAGTCACTTGGTGGGTGTCATTCCCCTTTGGGATATAGGGGAGCCTCCATGGAAAGGCTTTCAAGAGGGAATTTCTAATGTATTAAAAAATCTGGGTTTGTATTACAGGATCACAAAGTAACTGAATCGGTGAGGTTGGAAGGGACCTCTGAAGGTCATCTAGTCCATCAGCTCTTCTCAAGCAGGGCCACCTAGTGCTGATTGCCCAGGACCATGTCCGGATGTCTCTTAGTATCTCCAAGGATGGAGATTCCCCAACTTCTCTGGGCAACTTATTCCAGTTTTTACAGTTTTCAGAGTGAGAAAAACCCAAGTGTGTTCCCTAATGTTCAGGTGGAACTTCCTGTCTTTAAGCTTGTGCCAGTGGCTCTTGTCCTGTCCTGTCCTCTGGACACCACTGCGAAGAGCCTGGCTGTGTATTTACACCCTGCATTTGTATACTTGCATACATTGGTAATACCCCCCATGAACCTTCTCTTCTCCAGGTTAATCAGCACCAGCTCTCTTGGCCTTTGCACACATAGAATCATAGAATAGTTAGGGTTGGAAAGCATCTTAAGATCATCCAGTTCCAACCCCCCTGCTCCAGTCCCTTAATCAGTTTAGTGGCCCTTTGCTTATTCCCATAGCTCCATCTCTCTTGTCCTGGAAAGCCCAGAATTGGACACAGTGCTCCTTGTGTGGCTTCACCAGTGATGAGTAGGGAGGAAGGGTCACCTCTCTTGACCTGCGGGAATCACTTCTAATGGAGCCTAGGATATGGTTAGCTCCCTTTGCTGTGTGGGATGTTGTTCTTCACTCATGTTCAACTTGGTGTTCACCAAGACCGTTGGGTCCTCTCCTGCCAAAGTGCCTAAGTGTTGGGTGACCCTGACCGTGTCATGGGGCATGGGTTTGTTCTTCCCAGGTACAAGACTTTGCACATCCTCCCGTTGAACCTCATGAGGTTCATTCAGCCCATTTCTCCAGCCTGAGATGTTCCTCTGGTATGACCCTCTGGTGTATCACCTGCTCCTCCCCATTTTGTGTCCTCAGCAAGCATACATGTCATTAATAAAGATGTAAAACTGAGTTGGAGACAGTATTGACCCCTCATGTACACTGCTAGTTACTGGCCTCAGTCACGCTTCTCATGATGCTCTGGGCTTGTCTCTTTAGCCAAGTTTCAGTCCAGCTCACTGCCTGGCCATACTTCATGGATTCTCTACAGGGTTCTTATTGGAGACAGTGTTGAAAGCCTTACTCATATCTAAGTAGGCAATATCCCCAGCTCTGCCCTCATCTGTCAAGCCATTTGTTTAATCATAGAAGTTTACCGGGTTGGTCAAGCACAGTAGCTCCATCACCCTCTCCCAAGGATTGGAGGGAGGCTGACTGGCCTGTACGTCCAGAGGCCTTCCTTCTTGCACTTCAAGATAGGAGTGACACTTGCTTTACTTCAGGATTTGGACACCTCTCCCAGGTGCCAGGATTTGTCAGAGATTATGCGGAATGGCCTTACTGTGAGATTAGCCAGCTCCCTCGGCTCTCGCGGGTGCATCCCATTGGGGTTCATGGATTTACATATGTCTGGGTGGCTTAAGTGTTCTCTGACCTCATCCTCCTCCACTAAGGGTATGTCTTCCTTGCTCCCAGGGTTCAGCAATAGGCCCACATGTGACACAGCTCTTCAGGCTGGGCATTTGGGGGTGTTACAAGTGCAGGAATGGAAATAGCTTCATTTTGTTAGGGAGCTGGTACAGAAAATCATCAGAAGCTTTCAGGAAGGGGTTCTTGGCCATGTGAAAGCCCAAAAGCTTTGGGGTGCGCGTGTTATAAGCGGGGCTGTGGCCTGACCGCGGTGCCACCACTGTGTGCATGGCTGTAACTGCTGTCCTCTCCTCTGCAGAGACCCCCACATCACCCCACCACACAGAGCAAACCACCCCCCTCTGAGACAACGCCGCTCCTACACGACGCTGCCGCGCTGAGCCAGGACGATGCCGAAGCCTGAGCCCTGGCACGTTTCCCACTGGGACATGTCCATGCTGGGTGAGACCTGCTGTGGATCCTGAGAGTTCTCCAAAGTGAAGTCATCCTGAGCAACTCAGCGGAGACCCTGCACGCTGTGGCAAAGGCACAAGACATCACTGCTGCACCAGCACTCCCGCACCGGGGCACTGGAGATGTCATCCAGACACTCAATACAGTGTCCAAGAATCCTTGTCCCCAAGGGGCCGGCCTTTGCTGCAGCCTCTCTTCCTTTGGGAATGAAGACAGCTGTTGGTTGATCCAAGAATTATTTTGCAATTTAAAACTGCCTCTTGCTAGGAATAAAAGGTACTTTAATGGGAGCCTTTTAAATAAATGAGGTTTGTATATGTAGCACTGATGGGATTTAGTGATGGTTTTAAAAGCCACCGTTCATCTCATGCGGATGGGGCTTGCAATCCTGAAGCCACTTAGGGTTTTATTGCCACTTGATGTGCCTGGACTACGCCGCAAATCAATTCTGGGTGCTGTCACTTCGGTGATGGCTCTTCCCAGGGTACCTGGAGCCTGCTTGGGGTTGCTCCAGCCTTTGCATGTGTTGGAGAGTACAGCGGTGGCTTCTAAAACCCCAATTCTGTGCCATGACCTTGTGTTCCAACAGTTCCAGCCCACAGCCCATTTACTTGGCCTCTCCTTGCTTTAGATGGCTGCGTGAGATGAACCTTGCCAAAACCTCTGGTCCATCTGACTTGTCAGTCACTGTTGGTGCTGGGTGGTCACTGCATTGCTCTGGCCTTGCTGCCTGTGCATGGGAAGGGAGCAGGCAGAAGCTTGACCTTTAACAGAGATATCCTTGATCATTAACAAAGGTATTTGTGCTTTTGAGATGGAGGAAGCGATGTGCAAACATGAAAGCAGTGATGGCCTTAGGTGGTGATGAAAATGCTGCAGATTTCTGAAATGATGTCTTGGGGGATCTGGGGCTGGATGTTAACTGGAGGTGGGTGGGCTGGGTTCATTCTTTAGTGGGAAAGAAGCCCAAAGCCCAAGGATATTCATGGCTAGCTACTCATCAGTAGTTGTCTACCACTCCTGCCTTCCCTGCTTCCAACCAGGAGCCGGGGTAGCCCTTGGGAAAACCAAAGGGGCCAGTGCTGGTGCCTCTGGCAGGGAGGGAGTAGTGCAGGGAGTCTCTGGTCTCTCTTGGAGCAGAGAACTTGTTGCACAGTGTGTGGTGTGGATGCTGTCATGGTCTGGAAACTTGTAATTGTCTAAGACAGCTCTCTAACCTTCTAGTGGGTAAGCCATACTTTTCCTCTTACGCTTCTGTCCCTCTTACTGGGCAGGAAGAGCACAAGGAGCTAAAACCAACGCCAGCAGTCCCTGTGCTGGTGCATTCCCTGCAGCCCATGTCCTACAGCTAGGCTTAGGCTGTCTGATCATGGGAGCAGCCCAGGTCATGAAGGGGAATGAAGGGCAGCAGCTGCCCAGAACTTGGTCTGAGGCTGAACTTGCCTAGATGCCCAGAACACGTCTCACAGTTACAGTGGGAATAGCCATACTTGCATTATTCCTGTGACATGAGTCCTCACTGAGGGTGATGCTTAAACTACAGCTATAAACTCTGCTCTTGAACCCCAAATGACCCACCTGCAAACAGTGCCTCACAACCTACACCCTCAGCATGCGGTTGTGAAGTGGGAGCAGGTCGGAGGCACAGCCTCAGACCAGGCGCTGTGGGAGACTCAACCCATCAACACGGATAAGACCGGGCAGCGCTCAGCAAAGCTGACAGTAGATGAAAGATAACCATCCTTGGGCTCAGCTGCTTGAGGCTTTAACGATGTGCTGGTTCTAACTGCTGCTGTACGGGTGAAAACAAATAAAATATTGACCTATTGCTCCTAGTGCGAGCTTCGGCGGGTTGTTTCTTTCTTTGTTCGTTGTCTTTGTTGCAGGAGCCCTTGTTTTTAAGCCCCTTTCTGCACGTTGCGGTGGGCCCGGGGGGTTCTGGTGGGATGTAAGGGGGATGCAGTGTCGCGGCGCGGCCACCGGAGGGCGCCATGGCGCCGCGGACGCTGCGGGCGGCAACGGGGTAGGGGCTGGGGTGTCCCGGGGGTACCGGCGCATCACGAAGCCGCACCCCGGGATGCTGGGCCTTTGTCTGTCCCCTAACCCCCCCTTGCCGGGCTGGGCCGATGGACACAGCTCCCCCGCTCTCGTCCTCCCCCGCCCCGAGCACCGGCGGCGCTGCAATACGGTTGTTACCGGCTCGCAGCGATCCAATTCCATCTCCTGCGCTTCAGTCACCTTGCGGGCTGCTTGTGAAGTTTCCACCTCATGTTAAAGTGCTTCTCATAACCCCCAAGTCCTCTCCTGCCCCTAACTTGTCCTGCCTTGCTAATTCCATTTGCCTTTATGAGTGGTGTTTGCGGCTGGTACAGCACAAACGCTGTCGAAGTGCAGTCAGCACCCCTGGTGCAACAAACCCCACTGCAGAGGGGCCGGCACAGCACCTCTGTGCCCTCCCCTGCACCAACCCGGTTGAAGCCATTTACATTCTTCACCTTTACTTTATTTCCCCCACTGTGACAGAGCTGCCACCAGCTCCTCTGGAAAACATACCAGGGATAACAGCCCTCCCCATGTGCACTTGGTTAGGGTGCTTTTATAAATGGGGTATAAATGCTGCACAGGAGCTGTTCCTATTGAATTGTAGCATCTCAGGCTGGTTTGTATTGGAAGGGACCTTAAAGCTCATCCAGCTCCAACCCCTGCCACGGGCATGGACACCTTCCACTGAGCAGGTTGCTCCAAGCCCCTGTGTCCAGCCTGGCCTTGAACACTGCCAGGGATGGGGCAGCCACAGCTTCTCTGGGCACCCTGTGCCAGCGCCTCAGCACCCTCACAGGGAAGAGCTTCTGCCTATCTAACCCTGGTTTCCCCTCTGGCAGGTTAAATCCATTCCTCCTTGTCCTGCCGCTACCTGTCCTTGTAAAACGTCCCTCTCTGCCCATGCTGCTATTGATGCAGCCCAGGACACGATTGGTTTCTGGGCTGCAAGCGCACACTGCGGGCTCATGCTGAGCTTTTCGTTAACAAGCACCCTCAAGTCCTCCTCAGTGCTGCTCCAGCCCTATCCCCCTTCCCTGCAGCACCCCAGCCCAGCCATCCTCTGTTGCTGCAGGGCTGGGAACAGGGCTCAGACCCTCCTGCACCAGCCCTGTATTATCTCCTTCACCTGTATCCCAGTGCTCCCAGGTGCCCATCACTGGTTGTGCTGGGTTAAAACCCCTGGGTGTGAGCCCCAGCGAGTCTTTGTTCTGTTCTGCTCCTCCTTGTTGCATCCAGGTTTGCTCCTGAGCACACAGAAGCTGTGACTCTGGTCCCTTGTGTGCAGGACTCCTACAGCAGTGACAGAACCCTCCAGTGATGCAGGCTGGTGAGTGCTGCTGCTGTTGTGGAGGCTGTGGGCAGGCGCTTCTCCTGGGGCAGAGCTTAAAAACACCCAAAGCACAAAGAGCAAGCGACCAACCAAGGCAATGTGTGGTGGATGCTGTTAGAGTTAAAGGGGTGGCACCGTGGTGTTGGATGAAGGAGTGGTTTTCTCCCTGGCAGCTACAGGGGACCAAGCTTTACGTGCATGCAGCTGCCAGTGTGGGACTGCCGGGCCCAAAGTCCAGGGAAGAGGTGCAGGGGGGTGAGGGGGATGATTAAGTGGATTGTGGCACTTGATTTCTCTTGTGTTTGGCCACAAAGGAGGAAATAGATGGGGGGAGGACAAGGAGCTCATGTGAGTTTTGGAGGAGAGTCTGCATGGCTTGCGCATCCCTGAGCACTGCAGGGTTATGCCTGTGCTGGTTGGGTTTAATCCTGTTCTGGGTGGGGATCTCTGCTGTGTCACATTGTGGTGCAGGACTTGGGTCCTTGATGGGTCCGTGCAACTTAAACCAGGATCCCTCCTGCGTGTGAGCTGGGCATTCAGCCTGAACCCCCCCATAGCCTGTGCATGGGGACCTGCCCTGGTTTAAGCCCTTTCCCAGCCTGACACTGAGCAGAACGTGGTGCCCGCTCCGCAGTGCTGGCACAAGCGCTGCCCGGCAGCCCTGGCCCTCAGCTGCCCCCTGTGCTTGGCCAGCACAGCTCTGCGCAGCCATCTGCTGCCTTGGCTGCCGACCAGCCTGCCCGAGCGCTGCCCCGTGCTGCAGAGCGCTCTGCCCGCATCCCTCCCCTCGCAGCGCGCAGAGGGGCAGCGCTGGGCCACCCTGGCATCGCCCCAGCGTGAGCCGTGCCGTGGGTGCACCCTCCGTGTGTCCCAGTGCGCCGAGACCTGTGTCAAATGGGTTATCGTTGCAGGAAGCAAATGAGGGTTGCTGGGCTTTGGCAGTGAAGCCTGCTCCCAAGTGTGTGTTGGATGTTGGCGTTAAACTTTATGGTGTTCAATGCCCCATTTAAGGAGTGTGATTAAATGTCCTTCTACCTCCTGCTCCTGAGGACATGGGAGCTTAATTTTATCGCTTCACTAGTCACCAGAATCAGGGCTGGACCGTTTCTGGATAAAAGCCTGTGTGTGCATAAGCTCCTCCAGCCAGTGCTGTCAAAAACCCTCCTGCCTTTCAAAAATGGAAGGAAAAAACATGATGTGCTCCTTGTTGTGAGCAGCTCCTTTTACTGAGGTGCTGCTGTGTCCTGGCAGTGAGAGCCACAGCTATAGCCCATTGGGATGCTCTCTTTGAGATGCTCCATCCTTACTGCTGCAGGCATGAGGCTCCCATGCATCCCATGCCTGCACCCTGCCATCACCTTCCCATGGCAGCTCACATGTTGAGCCTTCACTCTGCTGGAGCAAACCGGACCATGGCCCCATATCGAGTCCCTGTTTCCCATGTGCATCCATGTGGGATGAGGCTGTGGGGCTCGGAGCGGTGACGTGCAGCCGGCACAGAGCCAGAGCTCCTCGTGCTCAGTGGCTCCCTGGGAGCACTCGTTTTGTGGAGCAAGAGAAACAATTCCTAAAAAGGAGCAGTCAGATGGAAAATTGATACCAAATGGTGCTATCAGTCCCTGGAGGAGGAAGGTTTGATCCCCCCGCCCGTGGTTCCTGGGGGTCAGGAGGCAGGCACACAATGCTATTTTGGAGGAATTTTATAATCATTTCTTTTAAAGTTTATTATTTTCCCCTGTTGGAAGTTCATGAGTTTCCCAGACACGAGCTGGCTTCAGATTTGATGCTGATGGCACAGGCTTTGGGTGCATGCGATGTCTGCAGGATGAAGAGGGTCTGGGGAGCTGTGCCTGGCCCTGCTCCAGCTCTAAGGCCAGGGACCATCCCCAGCAGCTGATACTGGACCAAGGGCTTTGCCAGCCCCATGTGGTCATTGTGCTCAGGCAGAGGCACTCCTCAGCAGGCCATAGCCACGCTGGGGCTGTCTGCCTGGATCCCTTTCTGCTTCACTGCTCACCCCTGTGACTGCAGATGCTGTTGTTGAGCACCATTTCTTGGGGTATCCAGCTGGATTTCTGGGCTTAATAGCCTTGCTTGTGGCTGCGCTGCTCTGTTAAAACCCCACCTCCCTACACAGAGCCGTAGAATGGCCCAGCTGCTTTCTGCCTTTTCCATCTGAACCAGTTTCTGGACTGGTTCATGTAGGAAATTGCCTGCTGAGCCCCTGGTGCTATGGACAGGAGGTGCAAACCGTGGGGCTGCGATGTCCTGCTGCACGTAGTGCTGAGCACGAGGCATTGCATGGGGCTGGCAGCCGCTGGGGGGGGGGAGCTGAGCTTCCAGGGAAGGAATTTCCAGCAACTGCAGATCCCATCCCCAAAGACAGCATTTCAAGGAATTACCCTCTCCCTCCCTCCCCGCTGCAGACTTCCTCTGCTTTTCCAAGTACGTCTCTGGCTTGGGGCCATGTGTAGTAACTGGAGCAGAGCAGATCCATGGGAACATTGGGGGCTGGAGGTCGGTGCTGGCCAGGTTCGCAGTGCATGCTCTTATCAAGTGCTCCCAATTAAGATGCTGAGCCCTCGCCTCTTCCTGTCTCCCTTGTGAGCACCACGTTTCCAGTGCTCTGAATGCCATGAGGAGCAGTGAAACCACCTTCAGTGCCAACACAAATAAATGGCAATTAGGAATAGTTCTTTTTTGGCAAATAGTTCTGTTTTAGCAAAGAGCAGTTCCTGGTGTTGGTAACTCAGTCCCTTCGCTTGTGGGACTCTGGCAGGGTTCTCCAGATCCAGATGTGCACAGGGGAGATGCCCTATGGGATCTGTCTCACTTGCATCCCTGATAACCATTTAGCTCGTGTGACCCCGTGGGGATACAGAGACTGAGACGCAGTCCCTGTCTGTCTGCAGAGAGCTGCCAAACAGCCCCGTGTTTGCTCTTCCCTCTTCTCTAGAAGATTCTGTGCACAGCATTGTCCTCCATGCCCTGGTGTGGGGATAGATGTGGGGCTCTGGATGAGCTCCTGAGGAGGTGATTCCCTCTCCCAGCAGCCAGGGCTGAAGGCAGGGGTCACATTCCCTCTCCCTGCCTAAGCAGTGCCCTGTGGGTGCATCCCCAGACATACCTGTGGATTTTCTTTAGCCCATAAATACTCCCCTGCCCTCCCCAGTGCCCCCAGCAAATAAATTATCTGAAGCTGCATGTCCCCATTTCAAAGCCTTGTGAAAGAAGCCAGAGGGTTTATCAGCCCTGCCTGGCTGGAGCAGCTCACATACCATCCACCCATTTGCATTTGATCTACTTCATCCTGTGTTAAGTAATCCTTGAAAGCCTCAGTGGGTTGCAGGCCCTCCGCATGCCTGTAAATCACTGGGGCATGTCACCCGCTGTACATGAGCGTGTCCCACCCCTTAGATTGAGCTGAAACACCCCCTGCCCCACAGAGAAACCAGCCCTGTGAAATCA